AAAAGAGTTTAATTGATAGGTTTATGTACAGTCCAGTCTTGAAACTAAGATCGAACATGTTATTTAATAATTAGTGGATTAGTAATAAGCTCTTAAGGAAGTTTTATATTAGTAAAGTGAACAGGTTAGTAGTAACAATTAAGAATGCTGTTATTAGTCTAATTAGGATGTATTGTAAGGTTAACATATCTTTTGCAGTAGTTTGATTAATTTGTTGCAAAGTAAGAGAAAGTTTTCAAGATGGTGAGCATGAAAGAGTTTTTTTCAGATTGAATGAGCATATTGAAAGCAAGTTTGAATAAAGGTTGAATCAGTAGAAATAAGTAATTGAAGGTCATATTGTAACTGTTTATTAATTAGAAAGATGTTTTAATTGATATAGGAGGTATTGGAGTGTTAAGTAAGTTTTTTAGTAAGTTTAATAATGTGACCAAGTTTTTTGAAAGATAGGTATAATAGGGTGCTATGAGATAAGTATTGATAGTTGTAGCTACATTTGTGAAAGACTTTATTAGTAATAGTATAGGTAACAGAGTAAATAATAAAGCATTGAATTTTATGCCAAGTGGTTTCAATACTCTCATGAGTTTTATTGTTGGTAGGAGTTTTGTATAATAGGAGTTTTTAAGATAAGGTATCTGTAAAGAATTTCAAGTTCTCTGTAGACATGGCTTTGTAATTAAAAATATAGTGATTAATTCCAGTATATTTATATAAGAATTTGCTATAAGCATGTAGAAATGTCCAAATAGAAGAAAGAATTAGATGATCACTAAAGATAGAAGTTTGATTGTTGTCAAGACTGTAAGAAAGAAGAAATTATATATTAAATTGGTCAGTCCAAATGTAGTCAATATAACTACTACTAATATTGTTAGACCAGATAAAATATTTATTATTAAAGTGAGCTCTAATATTATATATATTGGAATTATTAAGAAAGTTAATAAGTTTGTATTTAGAAGAGAAACTGAAGTGTTGTCCTGTGTATTGAAGTCACAAAGAATAATAGGATGAATATAAAGTTGAGAAACTTGTTGGATCCAGTTAATTACTTTATTTTGGGTTTGGTTGTGGATAGAAGTATTAGTTGATAACAGATATACTGAAATAATGCAAGACTTGATATTATTTCTAAATAAAATATCAAGTGCTATAGCATCTTCAGGATGAGTATGAATACTGTAAACATAAGGTTTGAGATGGTTACAAATTATATTAGCAGTGCCTTTTATAGAGATAGAAGAGTTAGACCAATAGTAAGTAAAAAAGTTATTATTGCAAAAAAAGAGGTTAGATTTGTTAGAGATTTTTGTTTCTATGATGCTTATAATAGATATGTCATAATTGTAACAGTAATCCTGCTATGCTTCTCTTTTAGTAGGTTCATTAAAGTCTCTGACATTGTGTGTAGCAATAGTTAGGTTAAGATGATGTAGAGTTGAATTTAATGATGGTGAGAGAAAATTATGATTAAAGATTGAGGAATGGTTGTTGAAAAATAAATCAAATGAAATAGAAATAGGATTAAAGAGATTAGATTTGAGATGAAGATTATAGAATATAGGAAGTAGATATGGAGTAATAACAATATGATCTGATAAAAGAATGTTATTAGGAAGATATATATAAGTTTCATTGTAAGTGAATTAACAAAAAATGTGATACAAGATACTATTTTGTTGTTATTATATTTATTAATATGTTGAATTAAAATTTGAATAGTTTAATCATGAGAGAGAAGTGATAAATTATAATAATGAAGGAATTTGTTAAAACATGTATAAAGATTATAGAAGATTAAAGATATTGTAAATAATCTTTCAAAATTATCTTCTTAAGTTCAATTACTGTATGCTTGGTTCTCACAACTGTACAAAGTACCATAGTCTGCCCTGTATATTGGGTCTGACCATTATTATCCTGGTCTTTCACATTAATAGACTTGTCTACTTGTATACTTATCTCATTTTTCTTATTAACTACAGTGGATGTGTCTTTTAGTAAGGTAATAACTACTTTATATTAGTTGTAGAAGATAATGAATTTAAAAAGAAGATTGTAAAAATAGTGAGTCTAAGATGGAAACAGGTTGGAAGTCAAGATTAAATTTCTTAGATAAAAATTTTTCAGCTACTGAATAGGCAGTATCATTAAAATATTTAACTATTTGTAAATAAATTAGCTTTTGGTTTTTGATAATATCAAAATATGTAATAATTTGAATAAGAAATTTAGTATCAATAATATTTTTTATGAATAAATTAATAGCCTCCTTCTTGGACAAAGACTGTATGTTATGATTTTTAGCAGCAGTTTGGTAATAAAGAGAGAGGTAGTAGTTGAAGTAATAGTTGCAACATTTAGGATTAGTTTTTACTTTGATTTGTTCATAAACAAAGTTTTCAACTTGATCAACAAGTTTGTCTAAGACTTTAGTAGGGATGAGTTGGTCAAGTAAAGCAGTATGTTTTTTATTTTTGTAGAATAAAGTAGAATTAAGAGTTGTAAGAATCTAAGTTTCATCATCCTGAGGAGAAAATAATATGTGAGATTTAGTTTAAATATTATTAAATAGCTTGATACTGTCATAAAATATTTTGTCATCAAGGTATTGATATTCTTTATTGTTACAAGTTAGACAATAAAAGTTAGCAACATAAGATACTTTTTCATATTATTTTTGAAATAAATTGGATTTTTTAAATATATAAATTTCTGAAAGATGTTTTGAGAATTGAAGAATAAAATGTTGTTAGAATTGAATTCTAAGAAACATGTAGACTTTTTTTTTGTCAATATTAGAAGAAAATTATTTACAATAAGGAGGGTAGTAGATATCAAACCAGAAGTTAAAGTGATCAAAAGAATTTTTTAGTAAAGAAATACAAAATCTCTCAAGAAAGAGTGTATAAAATATTTTTATTTACTATATATTACTATAGTAATTATATAAAAAATGATCTATATACATTCTATTCTTAAACTAGTTTATTGCATAAGTCTTATATAATGACTTGTACTTTTTTTTACTTATTATACATGTTTAAATAATAACTAAATTTAAAACATTTTATATTTAATAAAAATATAAAAGTATTTTAATTTAATTATTTTAATTTTATTATTATTTAAGTTGTCTTTATATTTTTAAAAATATTAAGTTATTTATATTATTGGATTTTTTTAAATTTTATTAAATGATGTTGATATTAATTTAATATTATTTTTAAAATTGTTTTGGATAGAATATTGCTCTGAAATATAAACTGAAGTATAAACTAAAGTATTACTTTGAAATGTAAACTGAAAAATAAACTGAAATATAAAATAATTACAAAACTGAAGTGTAAATTGAAGTATAAAATGAAATATAAAACTAAAAGTATAAACTAGAGTACAAAACTGAAATACAAAACTGAACTAATATATAAACCAAAGTATAAACTGGAATATAAACTAAAATATAAACTGAAATATAAACTAAAATATAAGTTAGAATAATTAAACTAATTTGATTTAGTTTTAGATTTACTTTACTGGTTTATACTTAAACCAAGCAAACTATTAATAATACTAAGATTACAAAATATTAGTTATTTCATTAGATATTTCTATAATTTTTAACTTTCTATATTTAATATTTTAGTAATATAATCATAAATGTGATTATGATATCTATTTACAAAAATTACAATTTTGTTTTTAAAAAATCTATTTGGCCTTACTTAAATAATACAAAAAATATAAATAAAAACTGACATTCTCTAATTATATTTGCTAAAGATACTATTGTTATCACAATATTCTAAGAAAATCTTCTTTTGAGAACCTTTTTAATTTGAAGATTATAGTTAGTGAAAACTTTTCTATAGCAGCAGTGTAACTCAAAATGACTATAAAATATAGTTTATTGTTTTTGCAGTTTTTATTAATACTTTATAAAGTTTTTCAAATCAACTATTGAGTTTCTTGACAAATTAATCCACATTAAAGTTTTATCAAAAGATAAAAATATTTTTTTCATGTTTTGTATTTTTTCATAAACAGTTTTGAGAAAATTCTGAATTACTAAAGAACCATTTTTAAAATTTTTTTGCATTTATTGTGTTCTAACATGTTATACTAAATTATGCCATTGCTTAAAACATTCAGTCCAGTTATGTGAAAACTTCATATCTTTAATATCCAGAACTTTACCTAAATCCTTAACTTTTTTTATAATTACTAATGTTGTAACCATGCCTTTTTCTTCCCCTCTTTTTTAATAAAATTTAACAACTTTTCTTCTAATGAGTGTATGTCACTTTTCTACCATGACCTTTGAGAACCTGCACCTGGGTAATATTTGATTGTCTATTATTTTTAATATCTTCAGGTTCCTTTTTTTGCTTACACCATTCCTGATGCATTTGCGATCGATTCTGTAATATAAGAAAGTATGACGATTAGAGGTAGTCTCTACATAGGAAATTACTTCAAGCTTAAACTCAGCATTTAAATATAGATGTAGATCTTTAAACTCCCACTTATTTTCAAAAAAATTTAATTCTGAAACCCTTATTGAAGAACGATAACGGCGAAGTCAATTGTGAAAGTATCGAAATCGACAGTGAAAACATGACAATGAACATGAAACCGAAATATTGATAAAGAATAAAATGAAAGCCAGGCTAATTCTTTACACGATCTCGATAGCTATTTAATTCTTTATCTATTTCACAAGCAACTCAGCAAGACGATGGTATTCAAGAATTTGCTATATTAGTTTAAATTTTAACTTCACTAAATGTAAGGTTAAAATTTTTCTTAGTCGTTAAAAAATATCAAAAATATATTTTTAAAATTTTGTAATAACTACCTGGGTCGTTATTAAAGGGTAATATCTCGGCTGTGTTTAAAAACTATAATAATACTTTCCCGTTATGTTTGTGCACATAATAAAAAAACATGATATTTTCCTTAAAAACACATTGTAGGTAAAGCAATTATTCTAAGAAATGGAGTCGGTAAAATGGTGTGAAACAATCACTAAGGTATTTAATATTAAGACCATTTTGGTTTACAACCTCTTTATGAAATTTATTAATCACATTTATTTAATATAGCAAATCTTCTAATAATAAATTCTTGATTAGTGAATGTGCAAAATTTTGGTTTATTATGTATAAGTTGATTATCACAATTGCTATAAGGGACAAATTTAAAGTGTTACAAAAAATGAAGCTTGACTGTTATAACATAAACCTACACTTAAAGTCAGAAAAAAACGTGAACATACGCCACTTTTACAGCCAATAACCCGTTTATTGATAAATTAATATCACTTTAACTTCAATTAATAAAATTTAATTAAATTTAATTAAATATCCAGGCATGTTATCAAAGAGTTTGTAAGAAAAACTTTTTTAGTACGATTATGCTCTTTGTGTTTTTGCAGTTTTTGAAATAAATTTGATTGCCGTCAAGATTTAAGTAGGCAAATGTAATATTTTTATAGAGTGCCTCTACTAAGGCTTTTCCGACTTCAAAGTTAAGCTTATTATAAGAAAGATCTAAGGAAGTTAGAGTAGTGTTTAGACGAAGAGCCTTTGCTAATTCCATTCCTCCTTCAATTTCAATTTCATTACTTCTAATATTCAAAAAAGTTAAAGTAACATTTTTACGAAGAGCTTCCGCTAATGTTTTTACCCCTTTAAAACCAAGTTGATTTCCCTGAATATATAAGGATCTTAGAGTAGTATTTATACAAAGTGTCTTTGCAAATGCTTCTCCTCCTTTAAAACCGATCTTGTTATAACTAATATCTAAAGAGGTTAATGCATTATTTTTGCAAAGAGCTCTTGCCAGTGCTTCTCCTCCTTCAAAATCAATTTTATTATTGAAAATATTTAGGCAAGTTAAAGCAGTGTTTATGCAAAGTAGCTCTGCTAATGCTTTTCCTCCTTCAAACCCAGCATTATTGGAACCGACAAATAAAGTTTTTAAAGTAGTGTTTTTATAAAGAGCTTTTGCTATCGCTTTCACTCCTTCAGAACCAAGTTGATTATTGTCAATATGTAAATGAATTAATGTAGTGTTTATACTAAGAGCTTCTGCTATCACTTTTCCATTTTCAGAACCAAGTTGATTAGATGAAATATCTAAGGAAGTTAAAGTAGTATTTATACAAAGAACCTCCGTCAATACTTTTACACCTTCAAAATCAATCATATTACCTCCAATATCTAATGAAGTTAAAGTGTTGTTTTCAAAAAGAGCTTCTAATAATGATTTTGTACCCATAAATCCAAATTGATTTCCACGAATATTTAAGGAGGTCAATGTAGAGTTTTTGCAAAGTGCCTCTGCTAATGCCTTTCCTCCTATAATACCAATATAATTATATTTAATATCTAAATTAGTTAGAGTATCGTTCTTACAAAGAGCTTTTGCTAATGCCTTTCCCCCTTTAAATCCAATATTATTATCACTAAGATTTAAAAAAGTTATAGTAGTGTTGTTATAAAGAGTTTCTGCTAGTGCTTCCCCTCCAATAGGACCGAGTCTATTAAATGAAAGATCTAAAGAAGTCAAACTAGTGTTTTTGCTAATAATCTTTATTAATAGTTTTATTTCTTCAGAATTAAAATAATTAAACCGATAATCTAAATATTTAAGTTTTCTACTTGTTCGTAGAAACATTGCAGTCAAAGACTGTTTGATGCCATCTATAATATAGGTTAAGTCATTAGATCTACCCATATTACATTCTTTAACAAGCCAATTTTTAATTCCACCGGTTAAATGAAAGCCAACTGATACAGTATAACTTGTGTACTCAAATAATGGTTTTGGATAATTTGGAATAATAACTTTGAAGGGGACCAATAAAGCTTGTTCTTCAGCGTTTAACGCTAAAAGATATGTTCTTAAATGTCTTATATCAAAAAAATGAATGGTTGGCTCACTCCATAATATTGGTACAATAATTCTACACCACCGACGGTTTACAAGAAGGCATGAAAATAAGGTTGAATAATCAGCCTTAAAGTTATTAACTATTTCTAAAAAGCATTCGTTCGGTAACGTTATCATTTTGAAAGGATTAAGAATTTAGTATATAAGTTCGTCCGTAAGTACATACATATAATAATGTAAGACGAATTTTCGTATCCAATATACAGATATATACGTAATCAACATGAAATGTTGTGAAACATTGTACTTAATTACATTTACCATACGTAGCCATGGTGACCAGTGTTTATAATTAATGTGCGCCTCACGCACATATGTAGATTTTAAGATTACAGGCGGAATGTGCACATTAAAATCTTTAATTCAAATATGCTTTAAACTTTGATGTGCGTTTTATTTACTATCCAACATTTATTATGCAACTAACATCATAATATGATAAATATTAATTAATGTGCTATATAGATTATATTGCGAAACTAAGTATTTAATAATATACTACGTAGTCCGTGCTTAAATAATTAGATCATAGGAATTAGTTTATATAAGGCAAAGAATAAACATGCAGAATTATATATCAGTAAACTTAAACATTATCATTTATTAATTATGTATTTGAATAAAAATTCCGGTTTAATTATTATAGTCTCCATTAGCAATAATTATGTCACGAAAGATTGGATATAAGCGAAAATTTACAATTAACATATCAGCTGCTTATTCAGCCGATGTTAGTTGTACACTCCCGGTAAATTTTTCATCTATACCTAATCACTCGGGTGTACCTTATTTATTCTCGTAACATATATTTGTTAAAGTTTTTATTAATATTGGCCGGTGCAATAAGATAGATACCTCAAATATGTAGATGTTAATCGCTTCTTAATTAAGTTTAGTTTTATCAAATAAATCAGTACTCGATTTTTTTATATAAATACTTGAATATCTTACCTAACATAGTGTACAACTTAAACTGATTTATAATGTCATTGTTGAACGATAAGTGAAGTGCTGCTCCATTAACAAACAATGAAAAAAAAATGATAGTTAGTGCTCACAAATACTTTTCCGACCCTACTGCTGTCAATAAGTATAATCAAAAGCTCACACTACACAAGCATATAGTCCTGGTATTGGGCATTTCAGAAAGTACAGTTGGGCAGGTTATTCAAGAATGGAACCAAAGCAATGACAAAACTTTTAGGCCAAATAAAATTATTGGTTGACCCAAAGTTCAACCTAATCCTAATCTTATCATGATTATTCATAAAAAAGTCTTGGAATCAAACAAAGCAGGACAACCTTTATCTACTACAGTATTATGTCAATACCTTCTTACAAAAGAACATAAGGTTTCTAAGTGGCAACTCCTTCATTTGCTACATTCCCTGGGGTATTATTTTGGTTAGGGAGAAAAAAGAAATCTTTTACATGAATCTCCCAATAATGTTGCATATCATTATCAACATCTTTGAAATAGGTTATCAAATTTACAAGGAAAAAACTACATATCTAAACATCCTGAAGTATTTTTAGATGAGTCATATTGTCATCTTCACTATACCACAAATAAAACCTGGGTTCCTCACAAAGATGTTATTTTAGAATTAGGACTGGACCATTAATTATAATTTTTGGTATTATTATTGTCTTTTGGAACTGTAATACTAATAAATTAGAAGGTGAATTAGTTCCAAATTTAATTTATCTATGAGATCTAAAAATTCATAAACCATCAAATAAAGGACATAAGTGATGCAATACAAAAGAATAGAATGATATTCTGGATTTTATAAAAAATTCGAATATTATTCCCAATCAAAATGACTATTGTGACAATTTTAATTCTGAAATTTTTGAATCATTATTCGAAAAATTTTGTGAAATTGTTAAAGAAAAATATGGTAAAATAGATTTTCATATAGATGAAGCCAGATATCATAAGTGATGAAATGAAAAGGTTCCTATGACATCATCAAAAAAAACTAAAATAATCGAATAGTTAAAAAACAAACAAATTTCTGTTTCAGAAAAAGTATATAAATCTGAACTTTTAGAAATTGTAAAAAGACATAAAGAAAAAATTTCTTTTGTTTGTATAAAAATAACCAAATGTTATAGTCATAGAATTTTTTATACCCCTCCTTATTACTGTGAACTTCAACCTATCGAAGATATCTGGGCTCCAATAAAAATAAAGTTTCAGTATTAGGTCTACACAGTAATTTACTTGAAATTAGAAATAAACTTCTTTATGCCTTTATAGAAAAGGTAAGCTCACAAGCTATTACTAGTTTGTGGAGAAAAACCATCAATATTGCAAGAGATTATGAGAAATTGGAAGATTATATGCCTTTAATAGATAATGAATTAGATAACGAAATTATCTTAGTTAGTGATGACGAATCTGACTAATAAATTTTTAATAGAATTTATATTAAAATATTTTCTATTGTATGAAGTTTCAAAATATATAAATAAAATTTGAAATTAGAATACATTACAACACTTTTTCGTAGATCACTTTACCAAAATTAGACAAAAGAAGAAAAATTTTATATTAAACATAGAGCAATAACTACTAAGTAAATCGACCTTGGACTATTAAATAAACTTGTTCGAAACAGTAAATTTGACCTAAAAAAGATGCAAACCTCAGGAAAAAATATTTATTAGCAGTCCTGAATTACAATAATATCAAAAACAACACTGCAACAAACAACTCACAATTCAGTGAAAGTGGTCCTAAGAACCTTTATTTCTTTACTAACCCAGCATATAGGCATAAGATGACAGCTTCAAAAAATAACAAAAAAACTACAGATAACCTACAAACCAACCTAACTCTACATCTATAATTTTAATCATTAATCCTCCTATTGAATATGTAAAAGAATTTATCAATATTATTATAAAAGACCTATCTAAACTTACCTTTACAGTTACTTTTCTTATTCCTAGCTTCATCAACAAATATCTCTTTACTGTAGATCTTATCAAATCTGGTCGTATATCTAACCTTACTTCATTCCCAACTCAATGGTTATACAAACACAAAGAACTATCCCAATCAATACTTTTTGATCTTACAATAACAAGAAACAACTCCGTAAATATTAGTGCCAAACATCCCAGAAGTACACGCAGTTGTGATCTTAACTTAACAATTCAGTTATATGAAAAAACCCAAAAGGAATA